CCCCCATGACCCCCCTCCCCTGGATCCGCCCTTGTATGGATTAAGGACTTGGGTAAACGGTCGCATTTAACCACGCGCTGTTAACTTGGATTTAATGAGTTAAGTTAAGGCTTAAGTTTAAGAATAAAATTACTACGTTGAGTAATCCAGCACTAAAAGTCAAGCGATTTACGTGAGTAGCATTTCGGTATCGTCACCCAATGCACAATCAACAATCCATTTATCATGAGTGCGACTAATGGATTTCTATAATAAGTACCTGGCACACGTGCGGTTCATGCCCATAGGCTGGTTCTTGTGCAAATTCCAATAAACGATGGGCAAGTTGGGAAGTCTGTTTTGGATGTCGTTGATCAGTTTGTCCTCGGAGAGCGACGGACTTTTGTCCACAGATGGTTCGATGTCTGTGGCTTCCGTTGTGGAGTCATGCCTAGTCAAAGTATCCAGTCTGAAACACGATAAGTTCCTGCTCAACTATTCTGGTGTGTGAAATTTTGGTTTTCTGGTATCTCATTCTCACCTTTTCTGCAAAAGGAATCTGCTGTTCAGATGTGGCATCGGCACGTCCAACTTGATAGATCTAAACTGTAGTGCTGTGTAGATGATGACGGCCCAGATAATTCCTAGAGTGATGACTTTGGTAATGAACCTCCCACCTCGGTTGCCCTGCAGAAACATCTTCGAGTTGGGACCGAGGGGGGCCTGCATAAGTTTAAAAAAACTATATTAAAATTATATCAACATTTTTGATTTGGGATTGTGCAGTAGGTGAACTGTGTGTGTCATAGCTCATACACACACGAGGTTAATCGCCTCATAATAAGCGACATTTTGGAATGATTGTTTTAGTACCGTTCTAAACACGGGCTTAAAATTGCTTAATTGTCTGATAACAATCATATCTGCCATATGGCAAATTTGCACAACGCGTATCAGAATCTCTTCGCAACGCTATTTGCTAGATACGAGATTAAATGTTTGTTTGATGATTGATGTGACCTTGTTCCGTTTGGATCCAGCTATACAGCATCATTTTAACTATCCGACTAGCTTCGGTTTCACCGTTTCTCATCATCTTCAACAGAAAAGTCACAGCAAAGGAAAAGTTCATCATACCCTGACAAATTCAGATAACTTATTTCTTTCTAGTGACAAACCATAGGTTGATTATTAATGGCTTTTTCAAATTCAGCTGCATTAAGCTGGCTTCCAATACATACACATTTCTTAATATTAATTTTTCAAATTGCTCTATGTAAGACGTAAGTAAATAACGAAACCAATAAATTCTAAACGACCACCTAAGTGGGCAGAGAAGCGTGCAGATAAAGGTAAAGGACAGATACAGTAGCGGTAGGATATCATGCGCGGAGCTATTGAAGACCGTTCCAAGGGTAGTTCCAGTACAAAAGTTGATCCAAACCAGTGCGTGGATGTTTAACAGCCTTAGCCATTTAAGGCCTTTAGTCTTTTGTGCTGGTACCTCGAGGATACCTGGGTGAGGGTGTTGGGGGGTTTGCTTTTCAGCGGAGGTGTGTTGTGTTTGTGGTCGTTGTTTTGGGCGGTTTTGTGGCTTTTGAATCTAGCGAGGGAACTTTACATTAAGGTTTTAGGCTCCAGGAGCGAATTTCGCGGGGGGGCAGGTTGGGGGGCTTTTGTAAGTCAAGCGTTTGTTGTTGGGGGATTTTGGTCAGCTCAGCTACGGTGGGTGGTACCAACGGGAGTTTGTCATGAGGCTGGTTGGTGTGCGGAAGTTATGTTTTGGGATTTTTTGGGCGAAAGTAGATTTGATGAGAGGGTTTGGATGTGATCGAACGCGGGCTTTGAATTTGTCGTGAAGCCTCGAAATGAAGTCGTCATAACGATAACGATAGCAGAAAATAGCTATCGAAACGTCAAGGTAATTTTTCAAATTCATTTCTCTACTAATTGGAATTTTCTCTTACAGCTTGAGCCTA